AGCTCCTTCAGGCTCTTTTTCAAAACTCAGAGAGTCCTTGTGCAGCTGTTGAGGAGAATCCACACCCTAACCTCCATCCTGTGTGGATCGGCAGTGACAAGTTGATTTATTTTTATTAAATTCACCCGATGAGTCAGATTCCAATCTTATCTGCTGGGCTTTTAGCAAAAAAAAAAACATTTACTAATTTAATAGAAGATTGCACTCTAAATGCTTCAGTGCAAGTTCATTAGCTCCACTTTCACACAGGCCACATTTGTCTTATTATCTTTTAAACAATTTAAATTTTGTTGGTGGAATTATCGCCCCGTCATCGCTTCCCGAAGGCAGCGAATGCTGACGAAGCACGACTCGCAAACTGGATGCTGTTCCCTTAATAAAGATGAATTCTATACACTGAGAGAACAGCTGAGTGTTGATGGTCTCCTGCACGGCTCCGTCCTCCATTTGTTCTCAGCTCAGAGACATTCAGCCCGAGTTCAGCCAAGTTTGTCTCATCAAACATTAAGCTGCAGGGTCCCTGCGACCAGCCAGCTGTTCTGCCAATGCATTTTCTTTTTTTCCTTCTTCCTGGAAGACTACCTGGCTCTGCTTCATGCTCCTCTGCCTCAGTGTAAATGTGTGTGTGTGTGTGTTTTTAACATTTCCCCTGGTGGGAGCTCAGTCAGAACATGGCTGCTGCCCTTTGGAGCATCTCTTGACCTTAAAGTCTGGACAGATCTCCTCCTGCAGAGAAAGTGGGGCTCTAAGCAGAGATGAAAGGCTGCTGAGAGGCTTAAACTGTGGCTGTCTGCCTGTCAGGGGGGAACACAGGAGGGGGAAGCATCTCCAGGTGGCTTGGCAAATGTTAAAGTAGACAATAAGCTCCTGAGGAGAAACTCTCACAGTGACATTTAAAATAGTAGCAGATAATGATGTAGTTTGTTGATTTAACTGAACCAGTGTGAGTTAGTTAGTTAGTTAATTAGTAACACTACTCTCTACAGCCAAAAGTTTGCATCTTAGTTATTCTGGCAGTGGAAATAATCAACACGTTTTCATCCCAAGTTGTCATATATCGCCGATGTCGGCCCGATTTATCATGTTTAGATCGTTAAGACATAGCAGGGAGAGTTTGCTATGTCGCCGAGACGTCGGCCTTTAATCGAAAATGACCACCACGCGACATTCAAACGATCTATAAAATAAGCTGCGCTCAGTGGGCGTTCCTTCTATATTAATATTCATATGCTTCGTTAACTACGACCTTTATTTATTTAGGTCGGACCTTTCAAACTACAAATATTTCACCATCCAACGTAAGAAATCAATGCGCTAACATTCAAAAATAGCTAACCCTATTTTGTGTGTAAGTTTGCACAATGAAGAGACAAAATTTGAGAAACTTTATTTTCAAATTTCCACAAACAATATCTGACGGCCAGTCCGCTTCTCCTGGCAGCCTGCAAGACACAGAAAAGACGATGAGCACATAACTTCAAGAAACAAATCCCAACTTCACCACTGTATTTTTTTAGCATTTCAGCTGTCTTTTAGCCAGATTGAAGGCTTTGGGTCCGTCACTCTGCTTAATTTAGTGTTGAAACGGTTAAATAACGGGATCCAGTGTTGACTCCATTAACTGTTAACAGCAGCTCAACAATCAGTCCTTCATCTCAGAAAAACATTTGTTTCAAAACTGCGCTATTACCTGTAGCCAACGGGTCAGTTTGCTTTGCAGAGGAGACCTCGACTGATACATTGCCCATAAAATCACATTAACAACATACTGAAGGCATCCTTAAACTTCACTATGAGTGGGTCCCAACACTCGAGCCCAGGTCACTTCCACTTTAACCCAAAACGAGTGCTCACGATAACCAGATAAGCAGATAACATCAACTAGGGAAAATAAAATGAAAACACCACAGTTGTAGCGTGTTAGCTAACATGAGCTAAACTAGCTAATAGCTAACGAAAGATAACGTTAGCTGGTGGGGACTTGTGCTAAGCTATATACACCCAGTCGTGCCTCGCCACTCACCAGGAGCCTCTTTTAACGGTCACTGAATAAACAACATAGCGATTTTCTGCCAATTTATTCCAGCTAGCTTACCTGAAACGGACTGCGATGAGATGCTGTGACCTGCGAGCTCAGTTCCAAACAAAGACCGTGGAGATGAAATTCCACCTTCCGTGGCGACTTCCATATGTGGGCACATAACAGAGACGTTCGAGCTGGGACAAAAGAGTATTAAATTTAAAGATATCCGCCCATGCGGCTGACGCTTGTCAGACGATATAAATTAAAGGCCGATGTGTCGTCCTCAGGCCGACGTCGGCCAGATGTATGTGTGCTATCTGGGTTAGGTTTAGAAAAAAACCATCATGGTTTGATTCTTCATTCATGGTAAATGGACTAAATGCACATGTTCTAACTATTGAGGGGGACGCCTCCCTGTGTCTCCCCAAAAATCTACACCTATTGTTTCTTGGTCTAAAATGCCCAGTTTTGGCTGAACAATTGAAGCTGCAACGCTAGATGACTGAAAAGCCGTTTCTTTATGTTTGAACAACGCTGTGATTAACTTATGGTTGGGTTTGTGCACAAAAACAGTTGGTTATGGTTAGAAAATAGATAATGCTTTGGCTAAAAAATACACGCTTTTCATGGACCTATTGTGACAGGAAGTGCAGTGATGTCTTCGTTACAAACAAGCACTTTTTGTTGCACTATCAGCTCTAGAAAGGCAGCAACAGGTCACTAAAAATCACCCACGTTTGGAGGCTAAAATGCAGCTGTGAATGCAGCAGTTACTCGCTAAATAACAACCGGTTTTGTTGTTTGTTGGTGTTGAATAGTGTTCTGCATCTCACCGAGATGTCGCACCCTTTATCGTCCCCTCCACCTCCTGATGACAGCTCATATACTACACCACTTTAGAAACGGATTTACAGAAACGTCCAACACCAACATTTTCTTCTCCTCTGTCTCTTGTATTTGAACACAAGACCAGTCCTGTTGTTTCTCTGATGAGGACGATCCCAAATGTAATATTTTGTCTCCACTCTTTTGAAAACAAGACGGTGCCTCTTACGAAGTGCCACCCTGCAAACACTAAAATGTGTGTATTAGAGGCTCTCAGGTAAACTTAAACTGTGGCGTCTGCAGTTTGGCCTCTTGCTCTGACTTCTGTGGCTCCTAACAGGGTTTGATGTCGCTGCTTCAAAGGGAGGGAGCCTAGAGAGAATGGTTAGCTGCGAGCTGCACGCTGCCTCAGCAGTGTGTGTACAGAAAAGGGATTCTGGAGCTCTGTATCGTATATTTAATAGAAGAGTTTAAATGTGCAAAGGCGAGGCTGGAGATGATACTGTTGCTGTGTGAGGATGTAAAGTACAGAGTGACTGTCTCAGCAGGAAGTGGAAGACTCAAAGAGCACTCAGGAGTATTGTAGGGTGGGAGCGGCAATCGTCTTCTGATTGGTTCTGTGTGTATAAACCTCAATTTCCTCTGCGTTCCTTGTCAGTTTGCGGTCAGTGTTTCCTGGTGCTGCAGTTTGTTTTTGCTTCTTGTCCTGTCTGTCAGGCAGTCTGGGTCTGTTTTTCCTTTGTCTGCCTGTTCCCAGAGTCGGGTAATAAATGTTATTTTCTTCAACTTCCTGTTGCCGTGCTGTTGCTTTTGCACATGGGTTCACCTGCCTGCAGTGGCACTTCTAGCAGATTTGGTCCCTGCCACACAGAAAAGTCAAACAGTGCTGCACGTTTCTTACCAAAATGCAAATAACCGACCTAGTTAACAATAAAAATACGCTAAAATGCACAAATTAACTTTGCAATTGAACCAGGGATGCACCTGTTTCAAACTAGTTGTATAACTGTAATTTCTAGATGCTCTCAGTCTGTGTCGTGGTAATTACAGCTCAGTGGGTTCGAAAGACGCTAGCTACTATTTATTCATGCAACAGTATGTTGAACAATAGTAAACTCACTGGGTATGGATGTGATTTCAGAGGCAGCTGTCCTGTTAGCTGCAACCTGTGATTTGCTTCCATCTCCCCAGAGTGGAAAGTGAGGAGCTCACATCTTCCTTCAGGTCCTCTCATTTCGCCAAAGGTGTAAAACAACATACCTGGAGATGTAGCAAAGGAACAAATGATGGGAATGAATGTGAAGAGTCCAGACCAGGCTTTATGTAGGGCAGCGTTGGGCGTTGTGTTTTGAATCAACTAAACTTCACAGCACAGAAACCACGCTGCCGACTAGTGTTTTGAAGGTGTAACTGCAGGCTAACACAGACAAACCACCGCACAGTATAAATGCTCACAACAGCGTACGCAATGTGCAGTTAATAAAACAAGTTTGTCCTTGAGCATAGTCAGAATTGTGCACATGAAATGAAAGGCTGGTTGGTCCAGTAGTTTGCAAGACGATCTGTGGGCAGATGGAAGCACACACTCTCACATACAACCAAACACTTGATCCACATGATGAAAAGACACCATTCTGTGTGCAGTCTGCTTGTGTTGGAACCTTTGAGTCCAGAGGTTTTCTATCAGTTTGTTGTTTTTCCTCCACAGACAGTAATGACAGCTGGACGACTGAGACTGCCGTGGCATTCAGATGAATCTGCCTGTCAGCCGAGCCAAATTTTAACCTTTAGTTTAGCCTTAACGGACTGGACATGTTGTCTGTTTAATGATCCGAGTATTAGCTCTCTTCAGCGCAGCTTGGGGGTTCAGAAGTAGGTCAGGGATAATCTGTGGTGTTACCTATCAGACTGTTGAGTAGATTTATGAATATGCAGCCTAATATCTATAATGAGAGGTCAGGACATGATTTAACATTAGTGTCTCCCTGGGTGCACTGGTGTGCACTTTGTAAACTGTGCTGCTATCAAGTGTTTGTTCCAATTCCTAAAGTCCTAGTTCTAAATTCAGTGACATTAGTTGGTGTTCCAGTTGTGTTTGAGAGATATTTGTGTCTACCAAGTTAAACAACTTCCTTCTTTCTCTCCTCTCCAGCCTGCGAGCTGATGAACCAGGGAATACTGGCGCTGGTTACCTCGACAGGCTGCGCATCAGCCAGCGCACTGCAGTCCCTGACGGACGCCATGCACATCCCTCACCTGTACATCCAGAGGAACAGCGAGGGGTCACCACGGACTGCCTGCCAGTTCAACCCGAGCCCCGGTGGGCAGCGCTACACTCTGGCTGCCCGGCCGCCCGTCCGCCTCAATGACGTCATGCTGACTCTGGTGGAGGAGCTGCGCTGGCAGAAGTTCATCGTGTTCTACGACATCGAGTACGGTAAGTGATCGGCTGATTTGCAGGAATGCTGCCGATGGAGATGAAGCAACTGGCTGCTCAGAGCTGTTTTTGCTGTGGAGGGCAAACGCTCTGCTGAAGTTTAGGCGTGCTATGAATGGCTGTGGAACTTGATTCATTTTGGAGTCTTGAAAGTCACAATGGCAAGTCCAGTGTGTCAAAAATGATAGTCACAGGGGCGTTCTTTTACAGCCACGCACCAAGTTTGTTTTATGCTCATCTTTCGTCATGCATGTCTAAAGTGGATAATAGTCTGGAATACTTACTGGAAGTCCTTTTTTTGGACTGCTTGCAACATAGATACCTGAATGTTGTATCACTTTCTTATTTTTCACTTTCCCTGGTGTTGGGATGATGCAACACAGTCTAGTTGTTCTTTCTGTTATTTGAACTCTATGGGATGCCTGCTTCTTCCTCAGGTATCTGCAGCGAGGTTACCTTAACATTCTGTATGAGACCAAGTATCACAGCAGGGTGCCACAACCTTTTGATGACTCACCTGCTCGCTCAGGCAGAACTGAAGTAAAGAAGCACACTCGCGCTCTCACAGATTTGCTCCTCAGGTGGTAAAACATGCTGGTATTTCTACTTCTGGCTGCAACAGCTGCTCCAGAATTTAGAGTTTTTCCTCCTCTCTGCCTCTGTGGTCAGAACCGGTCAAGAGGGCTAACTTTTTTAACCTGTGAGTACAAAGCAATAACCGTCATTGCTCTTTCTTTGGCTGATGGTGACAGTAGTTTTAGATACATGTAGGGATACATAATAATATCGGCATGTCATTGATATCGGCCGTGACGTGTTATTTGTGTTGCATCTCAAGTTGTTGAACAAGCGACCAGACAAACATCCAGCAGGGAAGCATGCACTGTCCGCATCAGTTTGCAGGTGAGATTATTTGTTAGTCAGCTGTAGCACATATGTACAGAAACATTGAGAGCAAAGGTGAAGAACCAAAGTTTAACTCCTACATGAGATAATATCTAGGAGATAAACTTTTAGGCTTCATTAGGCTGTTTTAAGAGTGAGGAAGTCGTGCAGAATGAAGAGCTGAGTGCATGATACAAAGGGCGTTGAAAGTTCAGCCAAATGCAGCACAAACAAAAGGTTTGACCTTCTCAGTTAAAAACAGTCCAAAAGACACGCACATCCCACCGTCCAGTGGAGTGGGTGCTGGTGAAGTATAAAACAAACACCAATCATTTCCTGTTCAGAAGGATTTTAACTAGTGATGGGCAAAGCAGTTCTTTTGATGTTACTGAATCACTAGAATCAGTTCATTATAAAGATTCATTCACCGAATCGTTTAGTGCTTGGCGGGAGGAGCCCTGACTGTACTGTGTAGTCCGACTCACTGAACTGATACACGGCTGTGCTGCTGCTGCGTCTGCCCTGCACTGGTGAGTCTCATTACTGGCCAGCCTAACGTTTTAAGTTTGTTTATCTGGAAACTAAGTCTGTTAAAACAATGGGGAGGTGTGTGATTGTGTTCATGTGGCTTGACTCCTGGCTACATTAGCCGTTAGCTTGGAGAAAACAGTCCCTATGAAAGTGTATTGCTGAGAAGAAATTATTTGAATCACTCAGGGATTAGGGTTACGTCGTTCACCCAGTGATTCGTCACGGTGTAGGCAGTGCCTCTCTGCACCCTGGCTGCCTCGCGACTCGCGAGTGCTTCATTGTTCGCACGGACCGAATCAGCACTTCCACTCCCGGCCTGCACGCTCACTGCTGAGCTCAACTGAACTTAGAAATGAATGAATCAGTTCCGGAAGTGATTCAGTTCAGTACGTTCACTCAACAGATTCGTTCTTTTGAACGATTCGTTTGTGAACGACACAACACTAATTAAGTAACTAATTACACTAATTAAGTTTCAAGCCCACGGCTATATCTCAGACTCCTGACAAATGATGGAAAGTCGCCATCTTAAGGCCCATTTATGTTCCCTTTACGTACAAAAATGTATACATCCTTTTCAAACGATGTTACCGTCACTGCCCACATACTTCCATGCGTCTTTTACTTTGGCATGGATGTTAACCAATATATCCACCAGGGGGCAGCCCAGAGTCAAAAGTTTATGACAACAACAAACTCAAAAACAAACATGGCGACTGTGGAGGAGATATTGATAATGTACCTCTTGCATAAAAGACAAAAACAGAGGCAGCGTTGTAGGAGACGGTGGTCGGTGAGGCCGTTAAACACATCGCGACTGGATGAAGGAGAGTTCTTTTTTCTAGTACTGCCGATGAGAGAAATTGACGACGAGCGTCATTTCCAGTACTTTAGGATGTCCACTGGGGCATTCAATAACTTGCTTTGCCGGGTGGCCCCCAGCATGACAAGTCACACAGCGCGCCTGTGAGTGAGGCAGAGCGACTAGCTGTCACCCTGCGCTTTCTCGCTACAGGAATCAGCCAGCAAGCCTTCTTCGTGTCTCACTAGAGCAATGTATCGGGTAGTGACAACAACACTACCCCCACGGTTCCCGGTGGTACTGTTCCGTTTGACCCGTATCCGTAAGCTTTATGGAAACGTGCAGAAATACGGACGAAATGAATGCAGAGCATGGACAGAAGGCTCCGTCCGGATCCGTATTTAACGTTGAGCATAAATGGGCCTTTAAATGCCCCTAGTGTCTGAGCCAGTCATGTGATATGCCTCATCTGTTGTCCATATTCATAAACAAAGACAGTGTATATACTGTATGTGTACATGTGCACTCCAATATCGTATCAGGGCAACTTTTATCAGAAGTCTGCGGGAAAGGTCGAAACATTGCTTTACATTGAAAGCCTTCTAAATTGAGCTGCTTGGTGGGTGGACGAATTTGTTTTCTACTTTCTCAGTTAATCAACTACAAGTGTCCACTGTAAAATTATTTCAAATGCACAAGAACTGCCTGTAACATCTAGGTTCCCATGCATGCACACACACTGTGTACTCAGTGAGCAATTAAGCAAGCAAGAGAAAGAAAGATTGATTCATGTTTTTGCACCAACATTACTGATGCAACACTGTAAAGGTATGGTTAGGGAGATTGTGTCTCCTACTTAGGAGATAACATCCTGTACATAGGAGATAGACCTCAGTTTTGGCCAACATGCTTGTGAAAGAAAAAAATATGTATATTCACCTTGCCTGTCAGGGCTTCCGTACGTAACCCAAGCAAGTTTAGATGCTAAATGACGTTATGCTTTTTCTTTAACACCATCACCATTAAACTCTTTCTGTAGTTTATAAACCGCACTTAAAGCAGATGTTTCAATCTCAGTGCCTCTCTCAGTTCAGCTGTCAATCAACAATGTACACAGATCCTCCCACTCATAAGATAAAGGATCTCTTTTGTTTTCTTGTCTTTCAGAATTAACCAAGCGATATTACTGATGGATTTGAAAACCTGTTTGATGCTGACATTTGGTTACTTTAAAGCTCTCGCTCTCTTTTAAACTCTGTCAGAAGGTTTTATTTTGGGCCTCTTCTTCTTATTCAAATTGAGAGTCAAACACAGACAGTGTTGTGTGCTGTGGAGATTTTAAAGCACTTTGAAACAACTTTTTTGACTTGTGATTTTTGAGTGCATGAATAAATTGACTTGACTTGTTCAAAACAAAAAAAGCAACTGTTTAGTGGGTTGCCTGCCTTGTTGGAACTTCAGTTCTCTTACACATTGTCTACACATTGTAAACACACACAGGATACATGCAGACAAATAATTGAAAAAGCATTAAGGATGGCTGCTGTCTGAGTGATTTTCGATGTCTTCTGGCCTTGGAAAGGTTTCTATGACCGGATATTGCGGCAAAACTTCAGACATCGACTCTCCTGTCTTGTGTATTTGTTTGGAATGGCTCACTCGGACTGTATCTTAATGAAATCACATTAGGCTCAATGGATTTTTGAGCGTAATCGATACAGGATGGTGGCAATTACAATATAAGGATATAGACAGATACAGGCATTTAGCCTCCCAGATAGTCTTATCCAGAGTGATTTAGAGTAAGTGCACCAGTCGCTGCGGGCCAGGATCTAAATCCTTTAAGAATGAACCAGGGGCACAGCTAACATCAAGACCAAAGGACAGCGAGGCTGCAGAGGAGAGCTGTTCTTCCTCAGACTGAGCAGATGCCTATAAATACTCAGTTGTAAATGCATCCCTGCAGCTAATATAGTTGGAAGACTTGGACAATCAAAACTCTCTTCAGTGGCAGATCTGGGATTTCTTCGATTTCTTCCTTGCTCCATCTCAAGGATGGAGTATTGGAATATTTGACCCTGGCTTGGTAATAGGGCAAAGTTATGGATCTGCATGCCCAACAGGCGGCATTCAAAACTGGATTTCGACCGCACACCTAATTCGATGCACTCATTGTGGAGTGATTGTGCAGCAGCTGCTGGATCAGAGGTGTCCAAACCATAGACTGTGTAAAATAACGGACGTAGCCACCCTGATGTCACCCACTGGTTTGTGGACTCTCGTTTTGAAGCCTCGAGTTTGGTATTTTGACAGTTGCCATCTTAGATTTTTTTGAGTCAGAAGTGACCACATTTAGATAAGAGCGTCTCCAACGCTAGCTGCTAGCTTGGTTTGTACAGTGCATTTACAGTGATGGTTAATAATGCTAATGCTAATTTTCAATAGTGGAAAACAGGCTTAAAACCGACCCAGACTCACTGCGAAGTCGTCAAAACTGCCGTTATTGTTTAATGGCCAAACAGGAAGTGGTTTGTTACTCCAGCATACATGGTCCAATCTGTCCCGAACTTCACGTTTGATGACAGTGCCACCCTGAACACATCTACATGCCACTAATTAGTAATGCTCTTAGTGCCACCTTCTGGCAGCAGGAAATGACATGTTAAAGCTTTTTTATTTCCTTCTGCCATTTTGCACATTTGCCATAAAACAGGAAGTTGTTGTAACTTCAGCATACATTGTCCAATCTGTCTAACATTTCTCATGCATGATGAGAGTCCCG